TTCTGGGTACACAGGACTTGTGAAAACGAGGCCAGGAAATTTTATTTAGAACAAGGCAAAGACGATGTGCGGTTTAGATGGAATTGTGTGCTTTAAAATCTTTTTTCATATAGCAAAACTTTACCAGGCTATGATACCTCTCACCATGAGCAGCTCTGTTTCTAGCTTCCATCTCTATGTAGCAGCTATGCAGTATTTTTATTGTGCAGCGAAACAATTGCCTGAAAAGGTCCATATTCCATTAAGCATATGGAAAAGTATCCAGCCCTTTGTTTTCAACTGAATGAATAAATTTGGCATGTATGTATTAATTTAGACGAGTCACGGGACATTAGTGCTAGTTAATTGTCCCCATTTTTCTGGGGTTTATTTAAGCGATGGAGATTATTTCAAAAATGTGCAGCTTCGTTAACTGTTGTGTTCCTCGCAGAATGCCTCTTGCAGAGGCTCCAGACCCCCATGCAGCAGTGGGGAGATACTGCTGCACCTCCTTCATTCAGGATTTGGTGTTTGCTGGTGCCTGGCCACAGCAGGAGAGCAGGATGAGAAAAAGTCTCCTCAAGGCCATGTTCAGAGCAGCCAGCGCTGGTTTTGCCAGTCCCTGAGGGATTTCCCTTCCCAGGAGCCCAGCCTGGCTTCTCAGTGACAATGCTGCTCCTCCACCATGGAACCGTGAGGATCCTTTCATCCAGCTGTGATGCTCCCAGCGCAGCACACACATCCCTCCTGTGACCAGTGGAATCAGAGATAGGTACCTGCCAGGCTCCGAGGCCCATGCGGGGTCACACTGGTCCACCTCACTGCAAGCCAGGGGCTGATTTTTTTTTGCCTTGCATTGCAAAGAAAACCTACAAGCTCCTTCCCTCAGACTTTGGGGTGAGACTCTAGAGCTTCAGGCAGGATGGTGCTCCTTTCAGCAAAACCCATGCAGCAGGAAAATTGAATAGATCTTTTTTCCCCTGTGAAGGGCGATTAAGGAGTGACCAGCTGCTGGGAAACTACCAAAAATCTCCTAGTGTGCCACCGGCAGTGTGCGTCGCATCTCGAATGCTGGTCGGTCTCCTTGTTGCTGGTTGTTCTTCCCCACTGCTGCACGAACCTGCTGCCCCACAGTCCTGCTCTGCAAGCTGCTGAAGCTGGGTGAACAGTGCAAGGATTTCTGCTCCCCAAGGGGACTCATCCACCACACCGGGAAAGACCTACTCTGAAAGCCTTGAGCAGCGTGCATGCCCCCAGCATCACCATGAGACCCTACAGCCTTTAGATGGGATCAGGCGGTGTCTCCCCTACATCAGTGCCTCCCTCTGTCAGAAAGCAGGGAAGGGAGAGCCTCTCGTGGGTGGGGAAGGAAATGAATCCAGGCTCGAGTGCTTTGTCAGGGATGCAAATTGCACTACAAGTCCTGAGCATTAATTATAGAGCCTGGGCTTCTCGCTGGAGCCGTGGGGAGAACAGGCCCTTGGCTCCTATTAAATTTAATGGCGTTTGGACACCCAATTCCCTTAGCCTATTTGAAAACCAGAATGACAGTTTCTTCAGAAATATATGTGGTCAGGTGAAATCCCTCGTCCCGCTGCAGGCAGTGAGATTTTTACCTCACTGACTTCAGCAAAGCCAGAAGCAATCCCCCAGGTGCTGAGGTGTTTTCGTCATGCAATCCATGGGATCCAGGAAGGGAGCACAGGGAGTGATGTATGGATAACAGAGATCTGGGCAGGGAGCTCTATGGACACGGAGGAACCCAGCTCTGGCACCATTGCATAGGCTGGTTCAACACACCAGGCTGGAGATTGTCCCTCAGTGGGATTTGGGGTGTGGGAATGGGGAGACTTGCTTGTCTGGGAGACGGGCTGGGTGTAGGGGCAGAGCCGTCTTCCCCAGTGATGCTTCATCTCTCATCCATTTCAGCCACTGCCTCTGAAAAGCAGCAGCTAATTTGTTCTCCTTTGCCAGGAGCAGACCTGTGAACTGCCTCTTGCTGTGTTTGCAGGGTGCTGATACGATGGCACAATGTGTGACTTGGGGATTAGGTAAGAAATTCTGTCAGTGGTGTGACTGGAAAAAAAGGGGGAGAAAGCAAATTTTGGAGTGTTAGGGGCAGAGGATCCCTCTGGCCAAGTGAGCCATTCCTGGTAGGCAGCTACTGGAAGCCACTTTGTTTTGGGATGTGCCCGTCCGTGGGAGAGTGCTTTTCTGGAATTGCAGGTGTACAATAGTGAGAGGTGATCTCTGCCTGGGAGCACTTACGGGAGCCAGACCTGGCTGATAGCGCAGCAGTGCTAGCCCATAGGTGGAGAGATGTGGCAAGGAGAGATTTTAAGCAGAGCCGTAAGGAGAAGCCTGCTCTGCAACCCAGTCCTTACACACAGGGCCAGCCTCATATTGAAACGCTGCCCAGTCTCCAGCTGTAGGCATTTTGGGTGAATTCTTTGTCATTTTCCTAGTGTTACCTTTTTGGCCGGGGTGGAGCTTTCCTGTTCTGAGGGACTCCAGCATTTCTGCCCGATTTAGCATGGAGAAAATGAACAGCAAACCCTTCATATTGTTATACGCATTTTAGATGTCGGCCTCACAGTTTGATCAGCAGAGGCTCCAAGGGCTCATAAACCTGGTAATACATAGTTTCAAGCCTGCATCAAAGAAGTTCACAACCCTTTTGGGAGAAGCCGTGAGTACTGATGAAAGAGGGAACTTATTGTATATGTAAGAAAACTTCTTTTATGGCTTATGTATTAAGGCAGGCTCTGTGGCCCAGGGAAGATTGGGGCTGCTTTTAATTTACATCCCCCCTCACTTATATTAAGTCTTCGTCAGAAGAAAAATTAGTCAGATGTTTTCTTAATGACATCATTTTTTTTAATCCTGTTTCATTTTTTCCAGATGAGGTGGTGGAGATTATTAGAAATGAATTGAAACTAAATCTGGAACAGAGACTTTGATTCACTTCTCCCTCCTACCCGGTAGAAATAAATTGGTCGGCTCCGTGCTCGGCCGCCTTTATTAGCAGCCTCGACAGAAACCAGCCCCAGCAGCCTCGGCTGCCGCTTTCCCGAACTTGCCAACGCCGCAGCTGACGTCATGGCAAGAGGCACCGGAGAGTGACTCGGAAAGGGACTTCGGTCGCCCCATAATTTTGTTTACGAAAGACTGTGGCGATGCAGGTGGGGAGGTTATGAGGTCTGAAACAGCCATGCCGTCATAAGTTTGTCTTTGAGTGCCATAAAAGAAAACAGGCTGGGTGCTGATGGGTGTTCCTGTAGCGAAATCTCAGGCTGGGTCCCACGAGCGTGTGTGTGTCAGTGGCTGTGCATCTCCGTGAGTCCTTCATATCTGATAGGTTTTCACTGCCTCATATTTCACACCACTGAGTCGTGGAGAGTGTTGCTACAGGAAAGTACTTTGAACTATAAATATTTTAAAAGGCATTTAATTTACTACCCATCAGCAGAAAGTGTTCAAAAAGCCACAAGGTTTACTAATTTATCAGAAAGACAGAGAAACATGCGGAAGATCAAACAAAGACAAACATGCTTGTAAACTGCTGAATAGGTCTGCAAAGCTTATATTACATTTCTGTGTGGTTTTGTTGATATGCAGGTATTACAAATAAATTAAAATGCACCTGAACTGTTGATAAGGCAGGGTGGGACCGAGATCCTGAGGTGCAGATGGCATGTCTAAACGGCTCAGACCCTCGTGTTTGTGGTTGCCTATGCATGGAGAGACAGATCTTACATGCACTCGCTGATGGCGTGTTTGGATATTTTTAGGGAAGGACCTCTGTAATTACCGTAATTTAGCTCCGCCCACGTCCCAGATCCCTGACCTCAGAAATCCCGAATCCCCGTGGTCCCATGCCCAGAGTACGGCCCCATGAGGTGCACATCCATCTCCCTCAGCTTTGCCAAAGCAGCCAGCCAGGGATGAACTCTGTTCCTGCCGTGACTGGCATCCCCACACCAGGTCTACTTCCAGCAGTCACTGAGTACAGAGAGAGCTAATGCAAAGCAGATTTTGCTCTTTTGTTTTGCCTAAAGACAGCTCTGTCTCCTTTGGTGTCCAGCTCAGATTTTCTGCTTCTCGGGTCAGGGTGTGTAACTTTTTCTCCCCTCCTTGCACCCTCTGTGGTTTGTCTAAGAGGCTGGAGGATACAGTAGAAGACATGGCTGGGAGATGTCGGGACACTTGCTCTTCCATTCTTACCATGCAAAAACTACTCAAGTACTGAAACATGCCTGTGACTTTTTTTTTTTGTTACATGCTGCATCCCTCAGCATATATACTGACTTCTTTCTAAGGTAGCATTTGGCCTGAGGAAGATCTGAGGGATTTAACAGAGGTGGCCCCCAGAAAGCATGCAGTAAAACCTCTCGTGAACTTTTGACCTGTGAACTGTACCGCCGACCTGTCAGGGAGGTTTGTGCAAGCTGTGATGGACGCAGGCGGGGATGGCTGCTTTGTCGGCGCTCACTGAGCCACACATTCCGGGCCAAGAAAAGTACGTCTTGCCCTAAGATCATATATTTATACAATCCTTGCGCCATTTGCATCCTTTCACAGGCAGCCCTCTCTGGGGCCTTGGCCCTAAACACCTGGATACCCAGGGGTCAGCGAGGAGCATGTAAACCCAGATTTTTTCTCTGTCTTTGTGTAGCCATCATCCCCATGCAAGGAGATGGGCTGAGGTATCTAGCGTGGGGCGTGCTCCGTGCAGCGCACTTGGTGCTGCCCGAAGCAGCTCATGCCTCTTACGACAGCAGCCCGGCTGGGGTGAGCCATCTTGCACAAAGATGTCTTTAGTGCGATGTGAGTGTGGATCTGCAGGAAGCTCGCCCTGCCTTCAGGCTTCACTTATGCCAAAAGAGGAAGTTTTTCCCACCATGTGCTCAAACTCCTCCCTCTCGAGCGAAGGCGGTGGGGTAGGAGGGAGAAGGGTGGCAGGCGGCTGTGCCTGCCCCGTGGTGGCTGTGAGTGACGACGTGTCTCTGTTTCCTTCCCAGGCCTCCTCCTCTGAGCGGCAGCCCAGTCATCTCCGACATCTCCCTCATCCGCCTGTCTCCGCACCCCGCTGGGCCCGGCGAGTCGCCCTTCAGCCCACCGCACCCCTACGTGGCACCCCACATGGAGCACTACCTCCGCTCTGTCCACGGCAGCCCCACACTCTCCGTCATCTCTGCTGCCAGGGGCCTCAGTCCCGCTGACGGTAAGACGCTGTGCTACTGGTACTACAGTGATTTTGAAGCTCACCAACACTGAAATTCCCCAAAACCCAGGGATTTACAGCTGCAAAGACTCTGCAGCTGCTCTCTGAAGTGGGATAGCTGTCTCTTTTTCTTTTCCTTTTTTTTTTCTTCCCCCCACTTTAACTACACATTTGTTTTGCATCATCGCACTGAGAAAGCAGAGCGTGAGAATAGCTATTACTGCTGGATCATATTATAAATATTTTGCTTAAAGTACGTTCCTTTCTGCAGTGCTCTCCGCTCTCTTATGAGCTTCCCTGCTCTTATTTCTCTACTGGGAACCCTGCTTCCCCCAAAGAGGGTCACAGTTGTTTCTGCTGCCTGGTCTGGCTGGGACTGATGTTGCAGAGATGAGGCAATCCTGGCTGGGTTTATCCTCTGTTGGCTTTGTGTCTCAGGGCAAGATGGCTCCCAGGTGAAGGAGAGAGGACATACTTTCTTCCTCCTTATTCCTGAGCTGCCCTGCAGCAGCTTTTAGGGAAGGTGAGGGTGTGTGGGGAGCTGGCATAGGGTGCTCACCGAGCTGGTGATGCTCTCCGAGCCACGGCAGACCCCTGTTTGGGGAGCTGGCGACAAAAAAGGCCAAGCAGGGAAAGGGGAAAATGCATGACTCCGCTTTCGCTTGGGGAGGTACAAGTCATGCTTTACTTCATTAGAAGTGCTTCATTACACGGTTGCAAAGCGGTTGGCTCAGTGCCCAGGGAGCAGCCGGGGTCTGAGGACCGGGTCTCAGCACACCGGGCAAACCCCAGCATCTCTCACCTCCCAAACCTCTGCAGGAACAAGCGGCCCTTGGCCGCTGCAAAGCAAAGTGCGCCAGAGAGCGCCAAGGCACCCAGATTAGTGTCTGGCAGCATGAAACCGTCTTCTATGGCAAAAAAAAACATCGCTAGGGTGATGGGGACATGCATGAGTCTTCTTCCCTCCCCCAAAATGTCATCCGAGCTCCCGGCCACCCGCTGTGGAGAGATCTGATGGCTGACATGCTTGTGCCCTGCCCCATCCTCTCCTTCCAAAGCTAGTTTTGTTGTTAGTGGTGAAAAAAAGACGTGTTTTGGGTCACTTTTTTGGTTTTTTTTTTTTGTTTTTTTAAGGCAGTGGTAAATAAGTTAGTGGGGCAAGCGGATGAGGAGGCAGGTTTGAAAAATTACAGCTGGGAGAAAGTGAGCATAATTGGCTTTGGCAGCCAAAATGGTTTTATGCTGCCAGACACTAAACCTAGCTCTATGCATTAGACCTTGGCTTTAATTTCCTCGCGCTGCTATCGGGAACTGGGCTGCATTTGTCTTTCCTTCCTAATAGGCAGGGATGTTAATGCTGACAGGGTTACTGCTGCCGGCGGGCTGGGCCCTCTCCCCCCTCCCTGGGGTGCCGGCTGCGTCTGAACAGGAGGATTATTAGAAGGGGGAACGAGAGATTGTTTATAAATTTGCGGAAATGGAGGAATGCAGAGGCCCCAGCTTAGTTTCTTTTGTCCGCAGAAGCACGCCCAAGCGCACGTCACGAGAGCCTTACGCGGAGCCGTGCGGCTGGGGCTGACGGGGGGCGCGGGGGGGAGACGGGGCCTCCAATGTCAGTGCCGAGG